TTCTAATACTAAATCATCATACAATTTTTTTAAACAACTGTTTTCCGGTTTGTGATAACATACAAAGTAAGAACGCATAATCGGAGGCCAACAGAATACACTAATGTTAACATCTTGTTGGAACTGAGACGAGACATTCTAGTATGAATGATATGAAATACCAATAAGATTCACGCTAATAAATAGGATTTTTGTGAATGTTGTGTCTAACAAGCACTTGCTATGTCTAACTAGAACTTGGAATGTTAAGGAGCTCATACCCTACAAAAATCACTTTTCACTGACTTCGGGTGTATTTTTATGTCGATCGCCAGCTCTTTTTAACCGACTTCAAAAAAAGGAGGAGGTTCTCAATTCGACTGTATTTTTTTTTTTTTTTTTTTTTTTTGTATATTTGTTACGCGATTACTCCGGCAATTATAAACTGATTTGAATAATTCTTTTTTTATTTGGTAGGTCATACGTCAGAGGTGGTCCCATTGTCACCAGGTCAGGATCTGATGATGGGATCCTTTGGAAATCGAGGGAAACCCTCAAATTTTGTAGGCATATACACTGTTTATCAGAAATTATCTTAATCTATGTAGATTTTTGCATCTAATGGTCACCATCTGATGTTGCTGAGCTGATGATGAAGCTGTTGATGAATGGTTTAGGAGTATGGGATCTCTGTAACAAAATTATGTAATACCATCGAATTTGAATGTGTTTGAGAAGAATTATTTTGAATTCTTAATTTTTCATTGTGCTAATATAAAGCTGACATAGACCAGTATTACTTATTGTACATCGAGCTTGGCACCGACTTCAAACTGACTAGAAGGGACTATTGGTATTATAATGTTACCTGTTACATTGAGGGTACTTATTATAGTTTTTTACTTAGATTTGTAATTATTTTTTAATTTTTAGTGCTCTTTGTCGGTGTTTTTTGAAGTCGGTTCAACTTTTTTTTTAAAAAGGGTTTATCTGTTGATCAGTAGAGTTGTCGGAGTTGCATGGCAGTGTGAGGATGAAGAAGTGACACAAATGGAAAAACGAGTATTTACAAGCATTAGACTTCGAATTTTCATAAAGACAAACATTTGTTGTAGAACAGCGAGCAGTATTAAAGATACATTCACAAAACATGATTAAAATCGTTCCAGTTATTCGTAGAGGAAACGCGTTGATGTCGTTTCCATGAAGATGCGCATGCGCACATACATAGGTCGTCCACTTCTCCCATATATCATTATGCTTGCAGTCTTTGTAGTATTACTTAACAACAAAGTTATTGCAGGAATAGTTATGAGCTCCCCCAACTGTATCCTCACGTTGTCGTCGTAGAGGGGCTTGCACGGGTCGTTGATCACTGAGGCTATGCCGGTAGAGTCACTCATGCCGGATTGGCTCAAAGGGAGACTCCAGACTAAGAAGGATACTCGGTGAAGACCTTCTTGTGTCAACGATACTTGCTCCACTGTCCAAAGAGGAGGAACGACGACGGCCTCGGTGAGCACTTACATTGCCACCAAGCAGGCTATGGGGACTGTGTCACACACAACGGTGTTACACACAACAGTGGCAAGGAGACACAGTCCCCATAGTCCACATAGTCCACCTACCTACCTACCTACGACACATCGTAATCCTGTCGGTCGGCGTATCGTGGTTATGTCTCGCGACTCTAATCGGGGCCGAGGGTCTTGGCTTAGCCAGTCCGTGGCTAAGCCAAGACCCTCGGCCCCGATTAGAGTCGAGAGGCGAGGAAGAAAAACTCTTTAAAAAATTACTCCGAATCCCGTGTTCTGTGTGCGTGGCTAGGGGATGCATGGCTGATGAGTAGTTCAGTCGCAAGCGCATTCCCAGCTGGGGCACCTGTGAATCCCTTAGTTGGGTATAAATCTACGCTTGCCCGGTTATTGGGGATCTCTGCCCTTTATTTCTCCACTACTGAAATGAAATGATGAAATGATTTATTTCTGCAAGTAAATCTTTTTAGTAATTTTACAAGTCGGAACTCGTGGGATCAATCATGCAGTGTATGTAATGTAACTTATAATTCTATACATTTATATGGGATTACATAGTTATTTATGCAGTTAGTGTATCTAGAAAATCGGACCGAAATTACAAAATATTTTAGCTTTTCTTAGATTTATACACTAAACACTAATTGTATTCTAAATTTGAAGCTTCTATGTCTGCTAGAAGTGCCTTAGAGTTTGGAGCCGAGCTGATTGGTCAGTCAGTCAGTCAGTGAGTGACAAAATTAAGAAATTTTGTCTAGTTATAATTCTTACAAACACGGTATAGTTTAAATGTCATTCAATATGAACCAGTAGGGTTCTTGTAATTTGAAATATACCGTGTTTATACAATGCGTGCTTGCTGCTGAACTGCTTCAAAAAAGCATGGTACGGCCGTGCCGTTTTTTTGCTCGACTTGGCGGGGGCACTGCTATGCCCCAAAATATACGGTGCCGCCGTACTGCTCGCCCGTAGTCTTATAAGTCAGTTGATAAATCTAATTCAAACACTTATTTCTACATGTGCATGAAAACGTTGGAACTAGCTGCACCGTGAAATGGGCTTTTTATTATTTAGATGAACATCGGGACCGACACGTGGCAGCAAATTGAAATAATATTCATGCCGAGCGGAGCGGTGTGAGCGGTGTGAGGGGAACACATCAATGTGTAACAATGAAACGCGAGAGTACGGAACCCAGATATTATAACCACGTACATATATTGTATACGTATAATTAAAGCTGTAACAGTCATTAAGTGAAATTAAGACGTGTGTGTGCGTTTCCAAGCAGAATTAAGTGCAATTCCGACAAGTGCATCCTCTGCCTCATCGCACCGTTGTAGCCATTGTTTGAGACTGTTCAATATTATTTACTAGACTCGTGTACATGTCGTCGTCAGCAGAATTACGTCACTCCTCACTATAACTTGCATGATAAGATTCACCAAGTACCTAACTATAATCAGGGACCTATAAGAAGGAGATATCGGTGCTTTTTTTGCAGTCAGAATCACAAGTAATCAAAAAGACAAGCGATCTAGTTAGAATAAACACGAAATTGTACCATTCAATCTTCCTCGTAGATCTAGACACCAATAACCTGTGCGCTTGATACATTTTGAATACTTAGTTAAAAAGTAGTTTTCCTACAAAACACAGTGCACGTTTTCCGCGACTAGTATATGATCTTACATTTGACTGCTCATCGCAGTAGTTAAATGTGATGATATGGCGATCCACATCTGAATAATTGTCGCCATTAAAGTGTGCGCGTCGCATAGTGAGCGGTGCACGATGACCTACTGTGCGAGCCGCTGAGACAATACAACCGTTGTCACCTGTGTACCTATGTTTGTATATATGCCTATTATACCAATTGATTTAATTTTAAACTTGAATCATCATCAGCAGCCTTTAATAGTCCACTGCTGGACATAGACCTCTCCTTAGAAAGGAGGTTTTGGCCTGGTATATAGACCGTTGTCCTGCATAGTTTGTTCCCTTAGTCGGCTGTCGAATAGGTGTGGTGGTATTCTTAATCCATCATTACACGGACTTACATAATTTGCTTTAATTGTGACATACAATACTTAAGTTAAATATGGGGCTATTAAAAGCTGACGTTATTTCCGAATACCAACGCAGTTCTAAGAGTAGATGGACAATTGATGATCACCGTAACATCTTGTCCATATTATTATTAAGAATCCACCTGTTGACCATCCTGTGGTAAATAAATTTGGAAACTTGTAACGCCTTACTGAAGTGTTTAGTGTCAGTAAGTAAGTAATAATTGGTTTGGGATGATTTTCAGAGTTTGTGTACCACTAATGTGACACTATAGTTGTCACTAAGCTTTTTACAAATAGGTACTTTTAATTAAAATTTAATTTAGCATTTGAATGCGCTCTCCATTATAGTGTGTATGAATGAGGCATCGAGCGGTGGAATGTGAAAGACGCGAGTCGGCGTGGGCCGGGTGGCCGGTGATGGTGTCCGGACACAAAGCGCCTCGGTGCGGCGTGTCGTGTTGTGGGATCATAGGAGCTGCTTAATTAGGAACTAACTCCGAACTCCGTGTGCTACACCTATTCAAATCAGTGCTAGGAATGCGTAACTCGGCAATTAATGTGTTGGGTATAGAAGCGACGCGACGCCGCGCGAGGAGCGGCGTGAAGGCCTTGTTTGTTTGTTTATCACACCGTCATTACGTTTAATTAGAGGTCTGCTTCGCTTCTCTCTAATCATTGCAATACCTTGAAAAAAATACCAGTTTGTGGTCCATGACAAGGTGGTAGCCGAAATACAATCTAGTGCCATGCATATACGGTGCATTGTAGACCAAATGTGACTTGCATCGCAATGGGAAAGGATTGTTTATGTGAAACAATAGCGCGGATTACTCTCAGACTGATTTGAATGCGAATTGCGAGTAAGTAATTAGTTCGCATCAGTCTAATTGACACGTGTCAAATATACCTGCAGTTTGATGTTATGCGGCAGACGCGACGGGAGCCGAATGTAGTCGTTTTGTGCAAGCAAGTGTTAACGAGTTTTAGTTTAATATCCGGGGCACCTAAACTCGTATGCAAAATCTTCTATACAAATAAATAAAATTGGAGTGTCTGTTTGTAATATTAAAATAATCGCTTTTTACTAAATGCATATGTATGTTTACACGGTACATATGCCAAAATAACATTTTTTTCAATTTTTATCTGTCTGTCTGTCTGTTTGTTCCGGGTAATCTCTGGAACGGCTGGACCGATTTCGACGGGACTTTCACTGGCAGATAGCTGATGTCATAAGGAGTAACTTAGGCTTTTTTTAGACTAGCTTCGCAACGCGGCGTTGCCCGCGGTTGTAACAACAGACGCGGGTAACACCGCGGGTCTCAGCTAGTATCAAATATAATTGTTCTAGCAAAAATATTTAATTTCCTTCCGCTTGGATTAAATACGTGTATTTCTTTTTTAATAGTTTATATTAGCCACGTCGGAGCCCCCGCGGGAGGCGAGGCGAGCCGTAGGCGAACCGCTCATTAACAACAATACCGCGTAATAGTACGAGCTCAGTGAGGGCAACCTGCGCCGCGCGGCGGGGCACCTCATGCAAATAACGCGCATGCTTCATGCTGTCAGTGCGCCTGCGCCGCCCGGCGCCAGTACACTAAAGCTCACGGATCTCATTCTTAAACGTCTTATTTAAATATCATAAATCATCACAATTAAATAACTTGCCCATGACACTCTTAATCACGACCTACACAGAACCATCAAGGGGGTGTCACAAATGTCACCCTGTTGTGTGAAGCATGGCACCAGAGAAACCGCTAATCGGACATGATTTACTAGTTCTTCTCTCTTAAGGTATCTTATGCAATTAGTATTGACATAGATTACGTTACACTCGTATATACTCATGAAAGTGATGTCTCCATAAAAGCAACAAGCCCAGACGAATGTTATTATAATCACTAAACTGTAGTAGAGTGCCGGTAGCCACGCAAGGTCTGACGTGTGGGGCCACGACCGGGGCGCATGCGGTCAGCGTGTGGTTTCGGTGGCGCGGTATGCTGTAACCTGACCTTTCACCTTACACGCTCCTTAACTTATATTCAAATTATTACAAATTACTCTGAACCATAATTGATCATAATTTATTGTGTACTCAACTTGTGGTGCAACTCGTTTCAAGTGTCGAGACCAGCTTTGGTTTACTTGACTTCACCGCGTGAGGTGGGCTCGATGCTGTTCAATTTCAATCTGCTTGTAAGTTTGCTGAGCTTTGAACTGAGCTTTGAACGATTGTTCAAAGCTTGTTTATTTGATTTATCATGTTAGGACAGGCGGGGCTCGTGGCTAAGTGGTAACCAAGTAGGTTAGCACATTGCAATGTTAAGCAATCTTAGCCAGGTCAGTCTATAGATGGGGACCAATCTTAACACATTGAGGCCCCTCCGTCTCTTACAGAGCACGTTAAGCGGTCGGTCCTGGCTGCTAAACCAACATCAGTGGCTATTACTATTACGAGTGGTTGCTAGCTCGAAAAGGCCGACAACAGTCTACCTACGGAACTTTGATATCGCCACATCGTACTTGGGTAGCTCCAAGTAAAAAATAGAATCTCAGCCGTGTCGTAGTAGGCTGCAAGCTGGGTCGGTTTGGGAAAAGGCTCGGAGAGTGATGATGATCTTAGGACAGAACATTAAATGTTGTAATACGTATAATCAGGCATTTATTTTTAAAGAAAATTAGTTAGGTACCTACTAGAGTAAATATGAATAAATACGTATAGTTGATGGAGAGATACAGACCATTGCCAACAACAGCTTGCAACATTGAGTATTCAACGAAAAAGTAAACATAATATATATTTACTTATCTTTACTTGAGTGTATTATTAGTCTAATTGCGTTGTGATGCTAATGACGGCTCCTAATTAATCTAAACATCGTGTAACTTTAATTTAATTACGCTACAGTTTGAGATAAAACTAGACGGATACCGGACTAAATAGAGGCTTAGGTAATGAAATCCGTCTCGCAAGCGCAAGTAACGATAATAAGTGGCCGGTAGCCGGTACGGTTCCCGGGAGGTTCCCACGACGCGGCGGCGGCGCCCGACATTAAATCAAATGACCAACAAATTGGTCGCGTTCTGGGAACCGCCGCCGCACTCACGTGACCACACTCGCATCGCCACAGCGCTGTGCCGCCGCCGCCGCCGGTGGTGGTGGGTCACCGAGACTCACGCACCGTACACTGTGCAAAGAAACGTTAAACATTGCACGAACACCTCACATTTAACGGTGATAATTGTTTAGAAGCGCGAAGAGCTGAACTCGCACCGGGCTACTGCGGCGTGCGTTGATGGATCTCAACAAAAAAAGATTATTTGCTGCTATCTATGCAGGTAAAGTCGGTCGCTAAACAAAAACACTCGTGAGTTTTTAAAACACGCGGGTCGAAAGCGAAATCGTGTGTCAAACGGCGGCGCATCACAAAATAGCCAGTTGATTGGGTTTTTACGGACGGATGGCGAGACCGCTAGGAATCCGGCGGGGGACGAGTTGCTGAATTTAAAATTCAGATAAGCGGAATAAACACTCGACCCCGGAATGTGAGGCTCGCCCCGGCCCGCGGCCGGTTCGCTCCCGCCTCGGCCAGTGTACCGCGCTGCGCAGTATGAGGTGACGCCGCCTGCGAACACCAGGGTGACACCCTCCCTTCAAGGTGAAAGCCTAAACACTTATAATCACCTATATTACTTACTCGCTCGCTTTCGTTTACTTACTTCACAGTGTAACACATAACTACAACTATTACGTTATTGATCACTTATACCATCAGTAAATCAATTATGCCATGTTGATCAATGTGACCAGTTCATTTATTGATTATTTACGAAATTAATAAATTAACTAATGTTTAAAAAAAACAACTCCCGCAGTTGTTATTTAATCGCAATAATAAACACACATGAAACGGACACAAAGAACACCCAGACTCAGGACAACAATTTGTTGATCACACAAAGCAACGTCCCATGTAGGGTTCGAACCCACAACACTTAGCGCAGCAGGAAGCGGCGTGGTGACCGCTTAAACCATTACGCCATCCGTGCCAACACGTTTGTGAACTGGTCAACAGAGGACGCTGATGATAGACTAAAAATATCGAGTATTGGCACTATTACCTATTCCGTGGTGTTGGTGCCATACTATATATATACTGTACTATTACTGTTTAGAATAATTCACCACCATTATCAGGTTACGTACCTATAAGAAATTTTGTTGGGCCCTGTGTGCTGTTAATGGCACCTCCATTTCGATTTGATCTGTGTTACATTGTACGTGCCAACTGGACGCGTTATATTATACCTGTTGGCGCTCCTTGGGGGAGCTCTTTGTCCAGCAGTGGACGGCGATAGGCTGAAGATGATATTGTACGCACTACGTACACATATTACTGGTTGTTCGTTAACGACTTTAGCCATATTTGTGACTTAATCATGAGTAAAACAGTATCTTGTTCGGATAGATCGGATCGGAAAAATACAAGCCAGCCATTTTTTTTATGAAATCTGATACTATCCTAGACTATTATACCTTGTTAGATAGCTGACAATATGGAAATGTTTTTTAATAAATCTGCAACTTAACTGTCATAGTTTTTTTTTAAATATTGGTCAAAGGAAAAGAAAATATAGAAATTATTTCTTTTTGCTAATATAAACCATATACTTCGGCCCAATTTGTTAAGTTAACTATAATTTTGGTAATGGAAATTATCAAACAATGTATTAACTACACAAAAACAGTAAAGAAAGGAAAAGATAAAGGATATAAGTTAAAAAAAATGTATTAAGAAAGATTTAAGGAAAATTAGAAAAAAGACTTAAAGTAAATATCTTGAAAATGGTTAGGTTTCGCATATGGCATTTCATAGTGAAATCTACCAGAAATGATGGCAACTACAACCCCTTAAAGTATCTAAGTCGACTTAACAATAACCCTGTAGAAATATTAAAATGAGGCCGATATTAGTTGAAGGTAGAATGTGATGTAAGGTAAACTGTGTGACGTAAATATGGAACATTTTATACAACACAATAGAAGATAAATGATAAACATATCCGGCTTTGGTTTATGAACGGAAATGAAGCAAAGAAATGCAACGAATAACTATTAACAGAACTGACATCATTACCTTCATTATACTTTAGTACATTACATAGTCTTCAGTAGCGTGTGTTCCTGGAACCACAATAACCTTAGAAGACTTAAAATTTCTGTCTGACTTAGATTTGAATGAACTCCAACCCAAAAATGTATGATATATTACGATATGTCAGCAATTATTTGTATACCTGAAATCTATCCTCTATAATTAAGAAAGTGATTGACCTCCAAACAACAATAAAGTGTGAGAGGATACAGTGTTGTGGCGGAGGATGATTATTGTTGATGTGTGGCGCAAGTGCACATCGTTAGCGTGCTACACTTAACGGCTGCAATTATACGCTGGTCGTGTATTAAAATATTTATGATTATGATAATTCGCCTCGCTAAATGCTCTAAAATATACGTTATTTAGTTAATTTTAGAAACAATAAAATAACTAATTGTGACAAGAATACCTACGCGGGCACCAGTCGTGAATACGCGGAGGACGTCACGCGGAGCGACCCGTAGATTTACACTTATATTAATGAGCTTACGTTTAGCGTTTGGCGAGTGACGTCTTCTCCAGCAGCACCCCGCCTCGCCCGCCTCGCCCGCCAGGCCCGGCATTCGGAGCGGAACCGCTCTTCAGTATGAGAGCTCATTACTGCGCGCCGGATAATTGAAAATGGCGAGCTCATTACAATATTTATACAATTATTCGTAGTTATTATTAATTGCCAGTGTATTACACGCTAGATGTAGACTAATTGCGACCTGCTCCATTATATGCTTCGTTCTAGGAGACGCAGTTACCACTGGGGCTCCACGCCCTTAGGCGAAAGGTTATAGCTGACCGCCAACAGGAGATAGGTACTATGAACTTACCTGACTTGAATTGTATTGGTGAAACTCAAATGTAGGACAAAGCATTAGGAGGGTTTGATTATTCAAACAAGATATAAAAAGCAAAGTTCCGAAGCAATAGGCATATATGTATGTGATGTATAATGATTTCAATACCCTAAAAATTCTGTAGCCAACTATACATATGGTTCAGTTTATTATGATAGTTAAGATTTGAAACAAATCGAGTCACAAATCTTTTTCACAGAGAACCATCTCACTGCTACGGACTTAATGCGTCCCAAATATGTTTTATTGGCCAATCTAAACTTGAAAAATATGATCTAGATGAAATTTACCCCTTATCGCCCGCATTAGATTTTTTAACCGTTTTTACAAACTCCAGGATAGGGCTTTGGACCCAATTTACTCTTCCATCGACAACATGGGTCTGTATCCTAAATATTGTAATTAGATGCATTTGTTTCAAAACACGATTTGAAGCGCGTGGAGGAGTCCCGTCACCATTCGGTAGCCGGTGCACCGTGTCCATTTCAACTTGTTCATTAGCATATATTAGCACAGCGTCATAAACGTTACGGCAGTAATGAACGAAGCGGAGCGGAGCTGTAACTGACAGCTCCTCTAATTAGTCTGCTTATCGCAACATACATTACGATACACCCATCAATAATTGGATGAAATAGAATCTTCACACACGTCATGAAACCATCGAAAAACACGCCAAAGTCAGGACTTGCCTTCGCTACCCTCTAGGATGTCGATGTGACGCAAATATCGATTTACCACTAAGGCACCTCGAAAACTGATGGAGTTTTATAGGTCCGGTAGGTAAAAAATCTAAACAAATTTATATTTTCTTATTTTGCAAAGAAAGTGTATCTTTTAACTTTCACATGCATTTAGAAGACAATAATTTTGTGAGAAAATGATCATGTAAAATAAAATCAGTCTGACCTGATACGGCGGTGTCCATCTAGATTAGCTAAAGCACAAACTAGCTCTTCCAACACACAAATCAAAAGTTCACTCGGTTTATAACAAAGTAAACGATGAAAAAGGCGATAATATATTTGTGAAGCGTTTAAAAAGTTGTTTGATAAAAAATATTTATAAAATGGTGACGAGTTTTAATCTTCGAAATTAAATATATATAAATATTTACAAAATTTATGCTAATGTAATAAAGCTCAACGAACACAATAAACTTTCAGTTTGGATTGAGTGGAGAAGGTTATGAGTATAAACAGTTCCAGTTTGGAGTCGGATACATTTCTTGTTAGAATTAGTTATGTTCTTATAAGTGTACGCGATTCACATTAGAAAATTTAAAAATTGCCCTGAGATTGAAGAGGACAATAAGAAACTTATTTCAATTTCAAATAAAGAACTCTTCAGAAAACGAAGTACTCGTATATATCGGAACTCGTGCTCGTGCCACTAGTTAGAACTAAATCAATGAGTGGTTGACTCATTTGTTAAATGGACTGTGAAGCATAAGATGCTGATGATAAGATCGGTGATCAGATCAAAGGGTTGGTGAATAGGTATGAGTCAAGTATGTGTGTGCTCCTAAAATATCATTGTATATCTCACAATTGCACTTGTAATGTATACGATTGTAATACAATTCATTTTAGGGAACTCCGTCCATGAGAGAGACATATGTAAATAAGATAAATAAATCATTGCACATGGGCTGTGGACGTTTACATTCACATATTCACATTCGTTACAAGAGGATCATTGACTGGGGTTATAATATACCGGTAAGGCACTTGTTATAACTTTATTACCTTGGCGCATTTGTAATGACGATCGAAGTGTCGCTTCACGCGAGAGTAGCTGCAGCGGACCGTCTGTGAGGTGAGGTGAGTTAGAGCCACGTCCAGTTAGACAGTAATGTATGTGAGGTGGCTGCGACGTCACTCACTCCTCCCCGGAGCGACATTAGGAGTTGACAATATTTACGAGTTTAAGACTGTGAGTGCTCCGCTGGGATAAGAGTCTGGGTCGCGGGTGGGATCGATTCTCGTTCACGCGAGCGTTGCAGTCACGATTATGCTTCGATCAAGATCGAAGCGATTACGTGTAGATTTTAAGTCAGATTTGTATCACGAAAACAATCATCAAATAGGTATTTTGTAAATACATAATTCTGAAGGTGAAATATGCAGTGTATGGCATTGCGGTTAAACAAATGCTAAATCATTAAATATTATACGAGTCACGTGCACTGCACTATCGAGGGTTTAATAAGTTACACTGTCGGACTTGCTTTGTAAATTCATGGTGTACAATAAACGTATCGCTTATTGCTTTTCAGTTTCAACAAACCAAACCGTTCGCCCACTTCGCAAAAGTAATAAGAATCGGTGCATACCGACGGCGACGTGATGAGCTTCACAGTAAGCAAATCAAGGTAGCGAGCTCATTTCACATCAGAGTGCACAGAAATCAGATCACGTTCTGTCTCTCGGTACATGTAGATAGTAGCTGCGATCGAAGGGAGTGAGAACAGGTATATAACTATGTGCTGTCGGTCGACACTTGTCCGTGTAAGATTATGTTCGCGTTGTTCAAGTTACTCGCTTTGAACGTCTGACTGAGGCGTGCGGCGCGACCTCAACCCGCGAGCGGCAGGTGCACATCTCAAATATCAACACATGTCACTCACCCTCGTGGTGTGGGACTCCCTTATTTGAATATTAATTCCATTACTCTACAACTCTATCATCGAACTCACTTCTCTCGTATGCTATTACACAGCTGTCAATGAACGTATTGACTTTTAGATCAATTGACTTTTAATAGACTCAGTGAGGCCACTTTGTGCTAATCATTATGTCAAATAAACATGAGTTTTTTTAAGTATATTATAACTGCATCACACACAGGTGCGCTACAATACACTTGGCCATTACATAACTATTTATCGTTATAAATTGTGGTTTCGTCCTTGCTACGATCACGAGTGGACTTTGTCGTCAATCATACATATTATGAGCTTATTATTGAACTGTGTCACATACTCAACATTAGTCCTTACTGAAGCTAGGGATTTCAAATGGTCTTTAGCAGTAAAATCTCAATTGTTATAGTTTTGTGGTAATATAGGCGCAGACTTGTTCCAAGGCAAGCGGTACGGCGCGCGGCGCGTGGATACTCGTGCAGTGTGCGGCAGACGGCGCGTCATTTGAATGGAAGTAGTTATTTTGATGGAATCACATTATCTCGATTGATTCCACCACGAAACTGATTGGTTCGCAACCGACACTTACCGACCATCTCGCTCATAATCACATTGTGATACCGTTGCACCGCGACGCATCGCCCTGCGTCGCGCCCGCGGCTCCACGCATAATGCGCCGATCAACGTTTGATCGGGGCCCCAATTCTGCTATTTTATGTAAACGCCAAGCCACTGTCATTACATTGATACGCTATTGAGATAGGTCAAAATATCAGTATTCTACTTACATAAATTCATAGTGTCAATAGACTGTCGATATAGTAATATAGCTCATCAATGGCGATATCAACAACATTGACATACCTGGAAAATTAAATATATCATTTTTTTTCAAAATTTAAATGTACCGTTTACCAAATTGTTACAAAGACGTTTACGACGTTGTAAAGACTGTTACGACGACATTTGAATTGGTGACAAGTGATCTGGCCGTTGGTCTTACATAGTTAGTAGAATAGGAAAAGTGCAAAACTATTCCGACGACATTCCAACGACAGTCTATTAATACAATATTAAAATAGCAGAATTGAGGCCCAAAGCTTTGGTCGTCAGTGCCCATTGTAATGGTTTTAGCGTAGATATAATCTGGCGATTGATCCGGAGTGAACTCTCGCCCAAACCGATTTAATTATGATCGCCAATAAAATTGTAAAGAAAGGCAAACTGCCAAGCCCATGTGTGAAAAAATATATTTTGTGAATTAAATTATGTTTTTAAAAATGATTATAATGGAGCGCACTCGAAGTTGTAACAAAACATTTGTAGTGGGTGCCTGGACGGTCTTTTTTATTTTGCAATTAAATCGAACGGTAGTGAGATCGGTGTCCGCTAGTCGCGACAGTTAATGAGCGCTTCTCGTCTAGCGGGACACTAACGTCCTGCAGGTGCCTGTAACGGGACCTCAGAAAGGTCACGCGCTCCCCGCCCCGCACCCCACATATAATTGTATGTGGAGCAACCACTGAGTAGCGCGACCCCGCGATCGACCCAGTGGCTCGACACGGAGCCGGCCGGTGCTGCGCCGGCTCAAAACTCCTCACGGTCACACGTTGGATTCCGAGTTGCGCCGACCGATCTACAGACATTTTTTAAAAGGATCACGTGAAAGTTTTCTGTTTATAGCGCTTAAAAACCGTCCCTTGTTTTTGTCACAGATTGTATAATGAGGGATTATTAAACGTGTCGGCCCTTGGCCGGCGGCCCTTATTGTTCGCCGACGAATTCGGCTAACGGCCCGCGCACACTGATGTCTTTGCGATTTTTACTTGTCGATTGTTTTATGTTTTTTAACGCTTCCTTCGTTCGAACAATAAATTAGAAAGCAGCGGCAATGCTTTCTTTTTTACAAAACGAAATGATATTTAAAAAGATCGCTTTCTCCGACACAATGCTCACTGTAATTGCTTTTGAATTTCCATTCCGGTTTAAAACTAAATATGTCCGCACAAAATACGTGATATTAAAACAGGAAATATATGTATGTACTCAAAAAAAATTAAAGGGGTGGTCTGTGCCGAACATCGCTATAAAATGTTAATCGAGAATTAGAACGCTCCCAGCTGCGGAGCTCCCTCAGTTTCTTTTATAGCACCACGTTGGTCAACAACCATACGCCGCGATAGATTGACGAAGCCTATAAGGTCTGGAACACAACAAGACTGTCGCCGGACCAATTGATATTTACTAAAACCATATCATTTCTACCACGATTTACAGCTGATGTTTCTCATCTAACGGAAGTTTGAAGGCTCCGTATGGATTATATAAAAGAGCGTAGTGGACTCACCGGACTCCATCGCTGGCATGGAATTGTGCAACATTGGTTATCTCACACCCATCCCCGACGGTAGACTAGTCTAGTATTAATAGTCTATATATTAACAAACAACGCAAAAGCTAAATGTCAGGTGATTATCCCCTCTCGCGTTTTTTAACGGGGTGAGAGGGTCAGTGAGTAACGGTGCCTGTGGCGCGAATACACAGGGGTGGCGCGACCTTTAGCGCGCGGTCAGCGTGCATGTGTGCGTGTGTGCGTGCGCGCACTCTAACGGGTCACACGATACACTTGTCACTACTTAGATCAACTGATATGTCCTACTGTGACTTTAATTCTAATATGTGTTTCACATCGCAATGCACTTGAGGTAATAAAGTGAAGAGAGGGGAATTATCACATGGAATCAGTTACGTCATCCATACACCGCTCTTAAACCTCACACCGCGTACACTTGACCACTAAATTATATTCAAAGCTTATAATATGCGAATTAGCAAATTAGTCGGCGTATGTAAGAGCAATTAACATACTCCATATAATTAGTGGAGTCTGCCACAATGCTCCGTATTGGCACAACGTCTTGTTCAATGCCGCGCCGCACCGCGCGTCTGGGCGCCAGGACACCGTCCAATCTTAAGACGCATGTGTAACAATCTAAACAGTTTTCCTCAAATTAGAAATAGTTAAATTCTTATCAGTTACGAATGCTTATTTATACCGCTCACTACTTGTTAAAAGTGATTTTTTATTGCATAACCTCAAGATTTAAGTCCGTCGGTATATTGTTGGTAGGCAAATCATTACAAAAAGTGAAAATAATTTACAAACAGAATTTATTACAATACTAACGAGCACGTTTAATGGCTGCCTGATGGTAATTGTGTCATAAATTAACGAGCTTCATGCAAACATCCGATGTGTTTAAAACACTTTTTTAGTAGTTCATCAATCACGTGAACCGCGTCAAGACCCAGCCCTGCCGGGGCGAGGGGTCCGAGGACCACCAGCACCTCTGCACACTCGCGTAGACGTAGATGACGACCGCACACGGGATACATATTACGATAAACAAACTCTTAAAATACATCTTTTCACTATATTTATTTTAGAACTTACTACACTATACTTATTTTAGAAGACCTTGGTCAATAAACAATTTGCATACGTTTGAACAGTTCGTATGTATTATTTGCCAGGAAAGTTTTTGTAACGCGTCTGAATGTGCTGCATCAATCACTGCGCAGGGGCACACTCACAATAGAGCGTTTGCGACTACCTGTCGGGAATAAGGTATAAGCGAAATCCTGAGGAATAGATGGTAATGCGTTAAAGGCGATTATATCTCTTTGGGTATCGACGCTTTACGTGATTGCCTTGCCACACTCAGTGAGTGAACCTTGAGAGAATGCATAGTAGATTGGGAGGATAAACGGTTAGTGGTCTTCTTTCTCACACGCTTCTCTTAGTGTCAGAAGTCGTCAGAGACGCTTAAGATACCTTAAAATACCTGTAAAGTATTGATGTATTTTTCCATTGAGTTAAAACAACACTAGAGAAGCAAACCTCATTATCACACGTCGAAAAAAGTGTAACCACTTTTGAACTTTGACGACGTAGCTTTGATACCACGAAACATTTGAAAGTAAACATATTTATGTCTCATTTACACGCGAGACAAGAACAATACCATCGCTCGGATTAGACAAAGACAAAGATATAACTTTACGATGGTGGGCCAGTGTTGACTACCGTATGAAATTTTACCCATAACAACTAAGAAACAATTTTTTTTAAAACAATTTTTTAATAAAATAAATTAATTTAAATATTCTAAATAATATATTTCGAATTGAATAGAATAGGTATAAATAATAAAATAACTGGAAATATTTGGTTAAAAGGGTTTATATTCAGTGTAAAATCAAACTGCGCTGTGAAGCATCAGTTTTGTATACAATTGTCTTTTAGACTCTTTTTTATAAGTTTGTGTGGATATTTTACTTTCATGATACAATCTTATTTTTACGTATGTAAAAATAATAGCATTTAACAATAAAAGTGAATGATCAACTTGTACTGATAATAAATAATCCCCAGGGTGTATTGCAAATTCTAATATAATTTAAAAAACAAATAAATTTTTTTTATTTATATTTTATAAATTTTTTTATTTATGTTTTTTTACTTTTTTTTTTATGATAAACATTTATTATTATTATTATTATTTTGTACAATTATTATTTAAAATTGATAATAAATTAAGAAAAACAATGAATCAATTCTTTTGTACAAAAGTCTCCAGCACTGCGAGCTTGGCACTTCTGCCAAGCTCGCAGTGAACGTTCAACGGGTCCCTAAAAAAAGTGATCGGTCCACCCCTAACAACTACCGTTCTTTCTATATTTTATTATTATTGGCAAAATGTTTAAAAACAGTATGAAGCATATTATTTCATAAATTATAAATTCTCCCACTAATGTGGGAGAACCAAAATGATTTTTTAATGGTAACACTGATTCTAAATTACAATTATCAGTGTTTTATTTTAATTATAGCCTTATTTACGATATTATCAATACAAAAACCATAAACTTACACGTGAAAATTAATTCCGCATGATTTATTAATGTTTTGTGACCTTGAATCGCATTCTTTCACTACGCATTTAGCCATTTTGGCGATTGTTACTGTCATGTGTCGCTATGTTCAACTCGGTTGACGCCACATTGAATACTGAATTGACGTTTGCTACGCATATGCCTGTGGACAGATGTGCAGTAGCAACGATTTTAGGCGGTAATTACTCATCTATGTAAGTATTATATCAATAAATATAAAAAACTTAAACATTGTTTGCCATCTAATAACGATATAAGGAGTCGTAATTGTTCGCTTAATTTGCTTTATTGAGTACAAGTCAAAGCGCCACGTGAATAAACTCGCGCTGTTTTTTGTAAAAATCTTACAAAGTAATAATAGTTTGTGGTCGACATCACGAGTCAACGAGCCGTTGATTGACATCTAATTTGGCGGAGAGGTAAATTCACAAATTCAATAATGAGGCACAAAAAGTAAATGTTATTTGTGTTCCAATGATAACGAAACGTAGAAAGATCCGACGCTGAAGTGAGCGCTGCCAGCGACGAGCGCGCCGCGCCGCCGCTGCCACAAGCGCTTGTGTTACGTATAACCATTTGTTCTACTACTACTATCATCTTCTTTAGAGAATCATGATGTCAAGGTGTCGCATCGTGCTAAGAAAGGTGTCTCGAAAAAAATTCCCCTACAATGACCAAGGTTTTAATAGAAAAGGAAACTAAAAGTAATGAGTGATGAAACGAATACAACGACCAAACTTATAGAATCATGCTTTTGGCGAATGTTAAGAGAATTAGGGTTGATGTTAGTTGTTTTGCAACACGAGCACGTACCTAACTGTCACTTTCTTCAAAAGGTCGGAGGCAGAAGCGACCTGACAAAAGAGATCGATTTACCGCTAAACACAATGAAAAGCTATGGCGAGACTTCCTGAGAACAAGGCCCCGCGACGCAGCAATTAGGCTTTTACTTCCAATAATTGTCAAAATGAACATATCACTATAGTTCGTTTAAGTAGTTTGTTTTGTAGAGACCTCTGAGCAACTGTACGTTTGCTTAAATGTATTTCAACTATCTGACAAGTGCTTGTAGGAGATATGAAAACGGAAATTGTGTTTTTTGACTATGTAAAAATTCATTTCAATCGCATGCTTTTAATTACACAGTTAGGAAAAAATAGATACCATCCGACACATGAATGCAACCTCATCGTCGTATAGAAATAGTATTGTACGTGGGTAATGCAATACGCTTTGATCGTAGTGGTCCGACAGTAGCGTGGCGCGGTACGAGCGGCACGTCCCGCGTCCCGCTCACTTCGCCCCCGCGCCATTAGCATGGCACTATTGTAATCTTTGCGAGACACTAATGCACGTTTTGCAATAAATCTCATAGAAAAAAATTATTCACGTCTCACCGGCGACAAAAACTAATAGAAATAGAAAGAAATATGCGAGAGCCGTTGTTGGAGCGCCCGACAAAAAAATACAGGCAGATGCGTATGCGCAGGTAGACGGACGCATGCAAATACATACACGGAACGATGCGGGCTGCCGCTGCGTACGGTGCGAACAGTTATTACCCCAAAACTGTATGTAAATGATGCAAAGAATGAGGTACACCATGTCCAAGTTACTGCTAGCAAATACACGGCGAACCCATAACTAGAGCTGTGGTTCAGGTTGGGGCGCGCAGGGGAAGGCCGCTAAT